CCCCCCCCCTTTTTCTACCTTTCATCATATGTTAGTTATAATTAAACTAAAAATACTAATACTCTAATAATTACTTGAAAGTTAGTAATTATATTACATTACTATTATTCATTATAAACACCTTTTTCCCGTACTTTTTACATAAATTAAGCTACATTACCGTAATTATAACATGACAATTATTCCATACTAATCCATAGCTATATTTTTTACATAAGCGTGTCAATACTCTCTCCGTTTCAATTTATGTGAACCTATTTGACTTGGCACGGAGTTTTTTTTTTTAAAAAAACTTTTGAACTTGTGGTGTAAAATGAAACACATATATTTTTTGTGGCTATAAATCATTGTATAAAGTTAAATTGTTTCTAAAAATAGAAAGAGGTCATTCTTTTTGGTACGGATTAAAAAGGAAATAGGTTCACATAAATTAAAATGGAGGGAATATAAACTTTACTCTCAAATCATAATCAAGTTGAATATTATTCCATATTTTTAAATAAAGATCACTACACTTGAATTTAACTATTTGATAAATCTGTACATAAATTTGAAAAACTTATTTACCATAATAATTTTTTTTTTTTTTTGGTTAAAACCATAATAAATTTAACATGTGAAAAAATAGTGGAGTAGTTTGGAAACTCTATAAAGCAGGGTAGATGAGAAATACAATTTTTTAATTAAAAAATGTGAAAAAAGATAAATAATGTTATCGTAATCTTCTTGGCATGACATAAAAAGAATATCACTCGAATTAATTTTTTTCAACCCTTCACGTTAGTGAATTACATGTATGTGAAGACAACTCGAAAAATGATAAGCAACTAAAATTATTTTTATTTTATTGCTTGATGTGTGACAATTTATAAAAAGAAAAAATAATCAATTAATACTACTACTGTTATTACTAAGTCTAGAAACGAGTTTAGGCAAACCACAATTGTCCACACCAAACAACTACTTGCCATTTTGTCTGATTTCGAAATGTCAAATAATTCCATCTGCACACATCACATACCACAAAATTACCATAATAATAATAAGAAGAAGAAAAATAATAATAATTTCAATCACTATTTATTGTGAGGTACAAATTGGATAAGTCAATTTTTAGAAGATTTTCACTCTTTGTACTTGATGTTGTTATTATTTCTTTGGTTTCTGTTTGATGGTACTGATATATTGTCCCTTCTCTTCTCATTTTTTCCGTCTTCTTGAGCCAAGGGTCTTTCGGAAACATTTTCACTCTTTGTGCTTGATGATGCTATTATTTCTTGGTTTCTGTTTGATGGTACTGATATATTGTCCCTTCTCTTCACGTTTTTTCCGTCTTCTTGAGCCGAGGGTCTTTCGGAAGCATTTTCACTCTTTGTGCTTGATGAAGTTATTATTTCTTTGGTTTTTGTTTGGCGGTGCTAATATATTGTCCCTTCTCTTCTCGTTTTTTCCGTCTTCTTGAGCCGAGGGTCTTTCGGAAACAGCCTCTCTACCCCATCGGGATAGGGGTAAGGTCTGTGTACACATTACCCTCCGCAAACCCCACTTATAAAATTTTACTGGGCCGTAGTTGTTATTTCACTGTTTGCGCGCGCAAAAAAAATAAAAAAAAAATAAAAAAAAAAATCGTCCCAACATACAAAGGAAGTTGTAAATAAACCAAACAAGTGCATCTCTCAAACTCCTCTCACCTAATGAAAAGGGTTTTAGAGAAGACAAATTATAAAACAAAACAAAAAAACTTTCATAAGATGGCAAGTGTTTCAACTAATCCAATAGCTAGTGGAATTTATCTATAACCTTATTTACTAAAATGATGTCATTTATAGGAATATTTTCCTTTATGTCCTTTATTTCATACTTCTCAATCTAATTAGAGAACAGTGAAGATGAAAGAATAAAGAAAAACATTTTTCCTTTTCTCATTTTCTTTTAAATGAACTTTTTCTCTTTGAATCAATATTTTGTGGAGTTACAAAAAAAATTACTTTGTTTTGCAAATACAATGAAGTTAATTCACAAATATTGCTTTTTCCATTTATTTTTCTGGTTCTTAGGTTGCTAGTACTATCTTTCTAGCAGTTGTTGTTACTGTTCTATTGTCTCTTTTCATCGTCTTGAGCCGAGGGTCTATCGGAAACAGCCTCTCTACCCTCCGGGTTGGTATAAGATCTGTGTACACACTACTCTTCCTAGACCACACTTGTTGGATTATACTGGGTTGTTGTTGTAATAATGGAGTTAATTCACAAATATTGCTTTTTCCATTTATCTTTTTGATTCTTAGGTTGTTGGTACTATCTTTCTGGTCGTTGTTGTTGTTACTGTTCTATTGTCTCTTTTCATCGTCTTGAGCCGGGAGTCTACCGGAAACAACCTCTCTATCTTCAAGGTAGGGATAAGGTCTGCGTTCTCCCCAAACCACACTTGTAGGATATACTGGTTGTTGTTGTTGTAGTAATGGAGTTAATTCACAAACTAAAATTTCAGATTTCCTTGGCAACTAAACCACTAATTAGAAAGGGTTCAATCAGTAACAACAGGTAAAGGACCAACAACTTCCAAACACAAGTTTGTTAAGTCATCAAACAGATAAAGACACAGATGACTCTACAAGCTCAAACCCCACACCAACAAACCATTACCATCTGCCTAGTTTTGATGGACAAAATTATCCGGTACGTATACCGGTGAGAGGTAACATCCAGTGGCATAGTCGAGGTGCACACAAGACACCAGTGAGAGGTAACATCCAGTGGCATAGTCGAGGTGCGCACAAGATACCCCGACACCAATGTTAACAAAAAAGAAATCTTCCTAAAAGAAGCTTGTAAAATAATCCATTAGATAAAGACACAGACAACTCTACTAACTCAAACCACAACCAACAAAACCATTACCAATCATGAAAGAGAAATGAAAGTATTAAACAGCAAAAACTTTTCCAAGAACTTACTCTAAGGTCTATACAATAGTAAATCTGGTACTGACTTTAGGATATTACAATATTGTTTAAAGTTGAACATAACTTCAGTTCCAAACTTTGACTGAAAGGGCTCTGCAGAAGATATCTACAACCAACAAAATTGGGTTGATTAAAGAATACTCCAAAGAGAAGCATAAACCAAATTTCTGGCAGAAACATAAACTCCCCCTACCATGACCTACTTTTTTTCAACCATCCATCAGCTACAGAATGTTAAAGCAAAGTGAAAAACAAAAGGGAGAAGTTAAATGAGGCAAAAAATTCCTAATCGGTTAGTAATTATTCGCCACCGCCTGCCAAGATTTACACATCCACTAGAGCCGTTACACCACAGAAGTGAAAACTCGAGTACAGGAAGAGAAGTAACAAAGTGAGCTGTGAGCAAAACAAGAGTAAGCTCTAAAGTGAGTAGTTTGCTAGTGTAAACTTAGAACTAAATCTGAATTTGCTAACGGGGCAAAATGAGTCCGGTTAGTCCCATGCACTAGTCACACCTGCTGCTCCATGTGATGAATACCCGCCAGATGCATAGCCACTGCTCATATTGGCACCACCATAATAGTCTGCAGCACCTCGATTGTAAGAAGAATCTCTTCGAAAATCACGACCACCAAAACGACCTCCACCACGACGATTTTTGCCTCCATAGTTAGATCGAGCAGCAAAGCGAGAGAGCCAGGCAGGTACTTCTTGGTTTGCTTCTGTCATCAAGTCAGATAGTGATCTCGCCAATGAAGAATTGTTCTCATTGAAGAAGGCAGTAGCTAAACCCGATTTTCCTGCTCGACCTGTTCTTCCAATACGGTGCACATAGTCATCAATGTCATTTGGCAGGTCAAAGTTGACAACATGTGCAACGTGGGGGATATCGAGACCACGTGCTGCCACATCTGTTGCAACCATAATTGGTGTGTGACCAGTTTTGAAGGATCTCAAGGCATATTCTCTTTCCTGCCAAAGAAGCACACCGACGGGTCAAGGATTTAAAAAAGAGGAAAAAAATTCTCCGACATAAGCTACAACAAGGAATAAGGTAAAAAAGTGCCAAGATGAGAGAACCATGAGAACTAAAACACTGTGATTACAACAAGGATAGCTAATTTAACCAGTCGAATTTTGCATTCTGAAACTCGTCTATGATCTATCTAATCAGGAATCTACTAAAGCAGAAAGATTATGGACAATTCAACACTCAATGTCACAACGCCAAGGACAAATTTTACCTTCCACAGGGAACCTATAGAATGCCATCTCATACAGCATAGCCATATCTAAGCTTAAACTTAATTGGACAAGCTTTCTTAGTATAATAGCACATAAGAAACACGGCGGTGCTTATCTAACCAGAAGCGTTCTTCTTATCACTTTTAAACTTTAAGTTTTTTTTGTAGTTAAACACGAGCAGATGTACCAATCCAAAGCAACATCCTATAGAACTTGAGAAGCACTACTTCCAATCTTATTTTATTTCTACGAAGGAAGCAACTTCTTCATCAACTTCTTTCATTTATGGACAAATGAGATTACTGAAGAAATTAAGAGGAAGAAAAAAGAAAATTCAAAATCCCTATTTTTTTTTTAAATTTTTGTTTTTTTGGATATTGGATTTAGAAGCCGAGGGTCTTTCGGAAACAACCTCTCTATCTCTATGAGGTAGGGGTAAGGTCTACGTACACACTACCCTCCCCAGACCCCATTTATGGGATCAAACTGGGTTTTTGTTGTTGTTGTTGTTGTTAGTTTTAGAACTGGAGCATATGCACAATCCAGCTATCATAACGCAGCCGATGTAAATGAAGTTATTTAGAAGCAGGAGAAGCAACCAAACATAGTAAAGTACAAGAAGATTGAGATTCCATATTAATAAGCTATATTGAAGCATGTAATCCTTGTTGACCTTAGAAAATTAAATAAATCCTCCAGTTCAAATGCTAATTCATGGTTCCACATGGCATGCCTATTAACAAAAGTTCCTCGATTTCTAATTGAAACTGAGAAGAGAACAATTATACAAGACAACCAAAATGGATTACGAGAATTTAATAAGAGCAGGAAGAGAGGCAAGAAATCATCAAGAAAAAACACTCAGAGAGAATAAAACAGACTACATTATAGCTTATGTGTCATGAAATCCGTCAACAAGAAGTGCACTAGGAATAAGCAAGCGTACCTGCTGAGTTCTATCGCCATGAATAGCAGTAGCGGGGAAACCATTCATACAAAGCCAATGCTCCAGTGAATCGGCTCCCTTCTTAGTCTCCACAAATACAAGGGTAAGAGCTTGCTGAAAATTTGAGAGAAGCAATGAGCAATAAATAAGTTGAGAAGTTTGAAATTGGATGATTACTAAGAAGAAAATATAAAGTGAAAAATATGGGTACAGCAACCGTTTCTATAAAATCGTATGGATGTATTTGTTTCACTCTCCAAAAGTTGAACATTTTGATTGACATCACAGGCTACACCAGAAACACAGCAACTGATGCAAATCGACAATTTAGGAAGACTATCAACCTTGGTTGCCTCTTCCTTTAATACCTAAATTTTTCTACCTCCAGCTGCTGATATTTAGAGATTCTAAGAATTTTCAGGATACGGAGCCAACCAATATCATATAAGTTCCAAAACCTGGAATTCTTTCATCCTGATAAATTTCGCAAAGAATTATGCTGATTTCACCTGGACACTAGCAAGGCCTTGCAAGCTGCCATTGCTCTTGAAATCCATGACCAAGAATTGAACACGGAAACATACTCCCCCCCCCCCCCCCCAGTTATAGATGTGAGCAATATATTTATGATACACCTACCTCGTAACCTTGGATAATTAAGTAAAACTGAAATAAATAGATGAAAGCTACCTTGCCATGAACACCATTTTCCCTCTGTGCATGAAGAAGATCCATCAAGTGACTTCTCTTGTCAGTCTCTTGAACATATTCAACTCTTTGGACGATCAAATCTGTGCTAGAGCCGACCCTTCCCACAGCCAAAAAGATATAACTGGATAGAAAATCCGAGGCTAGTCTCTGCATTCAGATAAAGTTTAAGTGTATTAATTTTGCGACAATCATTACCAAGGAACTCTCCCTATGCTCTCATAGAGTAACACATAGGCATAAAGGTAGAGAAAAAGAGAAGCTCCATTCAACTGTAGAACAGCAAGCAGCTCAAGAAAATTGTTACAACTTCCGATGGTAGCCACAAATTGTGATAACCAGTTTGCAGTCTGACGCAGCAAAGTCCACAGGATAAGGGAGCTTTAAAGTAAATTGATATCAAAGAAACAAAAATAGTGGATCAGAAAAGAGTCTGTCCATGTAGAAAAATGACCTGAATCTCTTTTGGGAAAGTGGCACTGAACAGCATGGTCTGTCGCACACCTGGCGGAGGCATGTCCATCTGTTGCACTATTTTCCTTATTTGAGGTTCAAAACCCATATCAAGCATTCGATCTGCCTCGTCTAGAGCCAAATACCTTATCATCTGCAACGAGACTCTTGCTCTCTCAAGTAAATCAACTAACCGCCCAGGGGTTGCCACAAGAATATGCACACCTCTCTCTAATTCTCGAAGCTATTAACAGTGTCAGAGCACGAAATCAACTATTAGAAACTTATCAGCTTTCAATGATTTAAGATATCTCTTATTGTCAGTGAGGACAAATTTTAAGACTCGATAGCAATGCAGTCGACCTATGTACCAAAGCAGAAAACACGTACAAATCAATCTCTCAAGCTTCAAGGTTATCATATAATAAGAGTGCAAAAGAGTGCCTCCAAAGCGTAGAAAAGGAAAGCTCTCTATATTTCCACCATGAAATGAGGATCTAGCATCAGACTCTATTTCACAAATTACTCAAAAGTCTCATTAAATGCACGTATGAAACTTTGCAACAATTAATCAATGCATATTCAAAATCTCTACAAAGTTTTCAATTATTGCCACCATTGCATTAGCAATATAAACTAGACAGGTACAAACAACCTCTTCATGTGCGTCAAAGTTCAGTGAAATGAATGCCAATTTCACATGTATAATTTCTTTTTGAGACTCGGAAAGTCTCTCAAGGTCTGCATTGTTTAAGAAAAATGTACTCACTAAAGAAAGAAGGTTATAAAAAGTGAAAGTGTAGGCAAGTTCCAGTTTGAACTTGACCAACAACCTACCTCAGAACATGAATCCCTCTGGTAGCACAAGGAATGCAAATATTAAAACCTCAGAAAAATCATATTCGTAGTGGTTTTGTCCAATATTTATGCATGCCAGGGACAATAACTTTGCAAGAGATTGTACCACAGGAATATACACTCCAGAAAGTGCAGCATCAACAGTAAACTGAAAGCTCTAGTAAGCGACAAAGTAAATGCAGCAACCTAAACACAGATATCATATCACAGTATACTTGTGCAATTCTAATTAATCACTCAAATAATACAACAGAAACTAGCGTTGCATATGGAAGAAAACCCGGCAACTAATAATACAAATCCAAAAAGAACCAATAAGTTCCAGCAAATATAAGAAATTAAAACTGAAGTACCAAGCAAAGAAGTGAAAATATAGGACCTGTTGGTTTATAGGAGCACCACCATAGGCAACAACCACCCTGACGCCAGTTTGATATGAAAATTTTTTAGCTTCATCATGAATCTGCAGATTTTGCAAAACAAACCATATATCAATGTACGGAGAGCAACTTCGTTTTTCCCTCTCTTCTTCGACTAAATAGACCAAAAACCAGAAAAACTTACTTGGCATGAGAGCTCCCTCGTTGGGGAGAGAATAAGAGCTAGAGGAAATGCCACACGTGGACGTGGAGGTCTAGGAAAGTGGCCCCTCATGATTCCACTTATAATGGGAAAGCAGAAAGCAGCAGTTTTTCCAGAACCAGTTTGAGCACAAGCCATCAAATCCCTCCCCGCAAGTGAAATAGGTATAGCATGTCGTTGCACAGGGGTCGGCTTAACATACTTGCACCTCCTAATATTTTCGTTGACAGCTTCACCTAAATCAATATCTGCGAAAGTATTCACAGGAGGGGGCACATTATCCCCGCTAGTTTCCACTGGAATATCCTCATATGCATCGAAATTGATCCCAGAGCTCTCTTGTTCACTAAAGGGTTCACTATCTTCCTCCGTAAAGGGGTTAACCTCACGCTCCCTCCCACGATCCCAACCACCACGTCCCCCATTCCAACCACCACCACGTCCTCCTCCACCAACATAACCAGATCGGTTTTCAGTCCTTTGACCACTCCAACGACTCCCAACCACATTTGGGACACCATAACCACTGTGGTCATTACCTAATGCAGCAGCACCAGCATACGAAGCCTGTGCAGGAGGTTCTATCGACGGTCTGTTTCTTAGATGTGGTGGAACATATGCTGACTTGGATGCAGCACCAGCCGGATTCTCGGCTGCAGAAACAGAATCAGCCCACGACATTGCCATAATCAGTCACCCAAAAATCACACAATATTTATCTTTCGTCAAGTTGCCAAACGAAAAACAAAAACGATATCCAAAACAAAAATTCAGCTAATATTACAAAATCCAAGCTATTTATCCTTCCTAGCACCAATATTCAAGTTAAAACCCAGCTACTTTCGTCATCATCAAATCAAATTCTCCAAATCCCACGTCAGCCTGCAAATTCCACAACCCAAAAAATCAGTTAGACACATCCAAAAATCCACTTAAATAAGCACGTATTCTGGAAATCCAAACATGATCTATCAAATAAACACCATGTTGCACAGCATGCAACAATCAACATCGTATCAAGAATATGCCATCCAACCCAAATGAAAAACAAAGAAAATGCAACAAAAAATCTTCCTCCCAAATACCCAAACAGGAAAAAAAGGAAAACTAAAAAAATCATAGCTAAATCATTCTTCCTACCTAAGCCTTGGCTAAGTTATGCGGTATCTGTGCTGGTGAGAGGTAGTAGGTCTTGGTGGAATAGCGAGATGCACTAACTAAGCTAAGACACCACCATTATCAAAAATTAACAAATTATAGCCAAATGATCACATCCCAACATAAGATTGAGATAAAAATACAACAAAAACCAACCCCATTTCAAGACTGACTTAAATGACCATACATACATGATAAGAACAACACTCATTTCAACATTTCAGTAAAAGAAACACCAAAAAGAAAAGAAAAAAAAGCACCCATTTCAATATTGAGTTAACTACACAGATATAAATGTAAAAGCACCAATAAATCATAATCAAAGAGGCAAATTAATAAAACCCCACTTGACAAAATTGAGATAAAAACATAAAAAAATAAAAAACAAATAACCATTTCAACAATCAGTTAAAACCACAAAATTTTCAACACAAACCCATATCAGGAATTGAGAATAAAACACAATAAACAAACAAAAAAGCCCTAAACACACAATAAAATGTTAAAACACACACAGAAAAGAGGGACAAGAATTGACTTACAATGAATGAAGAAAGAGAGAAGAAACAGCTAAGTTTGAGAAGCAAAAAAGTAGTGTTTCGATCGGAAGGCAGAAATGCAAAAATATCTTGGTTGTGGGTTTTTTTTTTTAACCTTTTTTTTATATATACATTTTTTTCCTTCTATCTTCTTTGTTGGAGTAAGGCCAATAAGGGAGAAATGAGACTTCTCCGTACGTTATGTATACACAAGTTCGTGATTGCGGCTAGGCTAAATTTTGGCCTACTTTTCTTCTTTTTCTTTCAACTACTATTAGTCCAAATATTTTCATATTTTAGAATAATTGTTTCAAATTTTTTAGGACGATTATTGGTGCAAAATACACTTAAACATTTTTTTTGTGTGTTTGGAATCCGGGATGGGGCCTGTTTGACTAAGAAATATAGATCTTGTTCAAATAATTAAATTTATATGAAGAATGGTTAATCTTAGCTAACAATAATATCCTTAGATAGGGTTGTAGAAAAGCACTAAATGTCGTGCGGGTCTGGTCGGACCATGGCAATAATATGTAATAAATATTCTAGAAATCAAGAGCAATAATATAGCATTCAATAATAATGCATAGCAATAAATGACATTTAAGTAAATAGGAGATTCACCCAATAAATGATGGAATAGGTGGATATTCCTCCTCACAAGAATGGACAAGAATCTTATTGAAAAGGTGGTGTTTGTATCTTAGCAAGAGAGAGACGAATCTTTAGTCAAAGCATGTTCTTTACAAATGAATATCACATGCCCTCGTCCTTGTCTCTTTTTCTATTTATATGGGACATGCCTCTAAGAAACCCTAATAGTACAAGTGCAGAGAATATTCTCTTTAATATCCTATCTTGAAAACTAGTCGTTATAGCTCTGTCAAACGTACTCGACCTCGACCTCGTCCTTTGTTGAAACCTCGACTACGGGCCTTGTTGACTACGGCTCTTGTTGACTCTTCGACCACAGACTTTGCTGCTTCTCGAGTCACCTCGACAAAACGACGACTTAGGAACTCTTCCCTTAGTATTAACTTGGCGTAATATTTTAAAGACATATTTTGACCCATACAGGTCCAAGTTCTCATTGTCAAATATGATTATATTTCTAATTTTCGGCCTTTAATTAAGGGTGGAAGTGTACCATGACCTTTGGTGGTTAGTAACATATATGATATAATACGTGAGTTGCGAAAACAATTTCTCTACAAAGACATCAAAGATAACACGTAACATAGATAAAAATAAACAATCCCTCCCCCCCTTACTTTCTATTAGTATCAGAGCAAGGCTCACATTTTTTCTTTTGCTTAACAGCTTGTGAGAAAATCATGGCAAATCAAGTTATTATAGGAGTACTTTTCCAAGAAGGAACTTCGCAAGTGAGGCCACCATACTTTAATGGACAACATTTCTCTCACTGTAAAGTGCGTATGAAAATATACGCAAAGGCTTATGATGTTAAAGTCTAGAAAGTCATCAAAAAGGGTAACTATCCTCTACCGGCTGCCGCTCAACCACTTGCTGGTCCTGAAGATATAGATTCATATACAAATGACTAAATGGCAGTTGTACAAGTCAACAACAAGGCAAGAAATTTTCTCTACAATGCGATAAGTGGTGAAGAGTATGAGAAAATCTCCAGTTGTGATACATCCAAAGAGATGTGGGATAAACTATATTACATACGAAGGAACCAGCAAAGTAAAGGAAACACATATCAACATGTTTGTTCATGACTATGAACACTTTCAGATGAAAGAAGGAGAATCTATTGAAGAGATGTTTGCCAGATTCAGCAAAATCATTAGTGATCTAAAAGCTTTTGGCAAACCATACTCAAGTGTGATCAAGTTAGGAAGATTCTTAGAAGTCTACCCACTACTTGGTAGACCAAAGTGGTCACACTTGAATCACAGGATCTGAATAAGTTATCATACGATGAACTTCGAGGAGAACTCATAGCTTTCGAGAAAACACATCTCAAGAAAACAATCAAGAAGAAAAGAAGAAAACAGTTGCATTCAAGGCCACAACTAAAATGGCAGAAAATGATATCGATGGTGATCCTGAAGCTCTTCAAGAAGAAATTTCCATGGTATCAAGAAACATGGATGGTTTAATGAGAAGATTCAGGAATGCGAGAAGATGAAGGATGCCACCTAGGCGATCCAGACAATATAATGAACGACAAAAATGATGGAAAATGATATGAGAGCGGAAGATTTGGACATGTTCAAGTTGAGTGTCCAAATCTAAAAAGAGAAATATCCAGAGACTTCAACAAGAACAAATCATTTGGAAGCTGGAGTGATGAAGATATAGTTCAGAACATGAAGAAATAGCAAATCATTGCTTCATGACAATTCTGGAAAACGACATGAACAAACTTTCAGGATGCTGGACAGATGAGGACACCTCAGGCGATGAATGCAAATGTAACAATGAGAACTATTTCATGGCACGAGGTGAAACGAGCGAGGTAAGATCTTATAACTGTGAAAGATGTAATGAATTGTAGGATATTCTTGATCTTACTTTGAAAGAGTCTCAAAAAATGATGAATGAACTAAAGAGACTCAACAAAGAAGTAAAAGACTGGAAACTCAAGTATAAAGTATGTGAAATCGAAAAAGAAGTAATTCAAGAAGAGTTTGAGGAATTGCAAATGCAACTCAATGGCATGCGCAAATCCACCAGTCACAGTTTTGTCAGGTCAACCCAGGCGACTTACAAGTCAACTGGAGAAGGACCAGCCAGAAAAAAGTCCACTAGTACTAACACTAATGAAAGATCCAAAAATAGATCAGGAGTTACGTGTCATTACTGTAACAAAAGTGGACATAGATATTCCTCTTGTAGATTTTGCAAATTAAATTTTTCAGGATGAATTTGGAAACCCAAAAATAATTCTGAGTCAAGTAATACTAACCAACCAGGACCCAAGCAAGCTTGGGTACCTAAAAGAAAGTAATCACTATGTCTTGCAGGAACACCACAGGACGAGTCACAAAGGAAAATGGTACTTAGATAGTACGTGTTCGAGTCACATGACAGGTGATAAAAACCTGTTTAAGGAAATTACAAAAATAGATGGAGGAAGTGTTAAGTTTGGCGATGATTCAAAAGGAAAAATAGTCGGTACCGAGACAGTCCCTTTCAATAACAATTGTGATATCACTGAGGTTTATCTTGTTGATGGACTTAACTACAACCTTCTGAGTATAATTCAATTATGCGACTCGGGGTATGAGGTAAAATTCAAGAAAATAGGTTGTGCTATTGAAGATGAGACAGGCAAAATAATTCTTCCAGGTATAAGGTATGGAAATATTTATATTCTTGATGGATTTGAAAATATAGATGGTCATATTTGTTTAACATCCATATCTGATGATCCTTGGTTATGGCATAAGAAACTTGGTCATGCAAGCATGCATTTGATAGAAAAACTTTCTAAGCATGCGTTAGTTATTGGCTTACCCAAACTAAATTTTTCTAGAAATCATATATGTGATGCTTGTCAAATTGGAAAATAAACCAAAAACTCTTTTAAAAATAAGGATATTGTATCTACCTCTAAACCTTTGCAATTACTTCATATGGATTTATTCGGGACTACTAGAACTGCTAGTAAAGGAGGAAAACAATATGCTTTTGTTATTGTTGATGATTACTCACGTTTTACTTGGGTGATTTTCCTATCTCATAAAGATGAAGCGTTGAAAATTTTTGAGATTTTCTGTAAGAAGGTTGAAAGAGAAAAAGGGTATCTGATTACAACAATCCAAAGTGATCATGGAGGAGAATTTGAAAGCAGAGCATTTGAAGACTTCTGTAATGATCAAGAATATACTCACAACTTCTCTGCACCAAGATCACCTCAACAAAATGGAGTCGTTGAAAGGAAAAATAGAACCTTGCAAGGTATGGCAAGAACTATGATACTAGAACATTCACTGCCAAATCACTTCTGGGCAGAAGGGGTAAGTACAACATGTCATATTCTCGACCGATGTCTCATAAGGCCTATTTTGAAGAAAACACCTTATGAACTGTGGAAAGTTAAACGTCCTAATATTAGTTACTTTCATCCGTCTGGAAGTAAGTGTTTCATTCACAACAATGGTAAGGACAATTTTAGAAAATTCGATCCAAGAAGTGATGAAGGTATTTTTCTGGGTTATTCATTGAACAGTAGATCGAGAAAGGAACTATTGCAGGTGATGAAGATCAAGCTCAAGAAATTCAGGAGACAAGCAAATCTCAAGGGTCGACTAATGGATCTGATGTTGTGATAGAGTCAACTAATAAAACCAGCAACAATCCACAAGAACCTTCAAAGGAGTCAACTACTCATATAGTTCGTCCAAATGAATGGAGAAGTGAACCTGAATATCCTCAAAAGTTCATCAGGAGATCTGAACGAGGGAATGAAAACCAGGGGAGCTCTCAAGAAGAAAGCAAACATAGCACTAATATCTCAGATTGAGCCAAAGAAAATAGAGGAAGCTCTGAAAGACTCAAGCTGGGTGCAAGCAATGCAGGAAGAACTAGATCAATTCGACAAAAATCAAGTATGAAAACTGATACCCAAACCTGAAAGTATTCCTGTAATTTGAACGAAGTGGGTCTTCAGAAATAAACTGAATGAGGATGGAAAAGTTGTAAGAAACAAAGCTAGGTTAGTTTCTCAAGGGTATTCAAAATAAGAAGGAGTCGACTATGACGAAACCTTTGCCCCAGTAGCTCGACTGGAATCTATACGAATTCTTCTGGCATACGCATCCTTTAAGAGATTCAGGTTATTCCAGATGGATGTTAAAAGCACCTTTCTAAATGGTTTCATTGAAGAGGACGTGTACATGAAACAACCTCCTGGGTTTGTAGATTCAAAGTTTACCTATCATGTATATAAGCTAACCAAAACGCTGTACGGACTGAAACAAGCTCCACGGGCATGGTACGAAAGACTCGGTTCATTTCTTGTTGATCATAGATTTACAAGAGGTAAAGTAGACACTACTCTATTTATTAAAATATCATCAGAAAGTAACCTCATTATTCAAATTTATGTTGATGATATTATCTTTATTGGTGCTAATCCTCTTATGTGCAAGGAATTTTTAAATCTTATGCAAAGTGATTTCGAAATGAGTATGATGGGAGAACTAACTTTCTTCCTTGGACTTCAAATCCAACAATCTGAAGAAGGAACGTTCATATGTCATACCAAATATACAAAGGAGTTGATCCAAAAATTCGGTATGAGCAATGCCAAAGCTATTGGCACACTAATGAGTTCTTCAACAAGTCTCGACAAGGACGAACAAGGAAGTTCTGTTGATGAAACTAAGTATCGTGGAATGATTAGCTCACTTCTTTATTTAACTGCTAGTCGACCGGATATTATATTTAGTGTCTGTAAATGTGCCAGGTTTCAGTCAGCTCCTAAGGAATCTCATCTAACTACACTAAAAAGAATTATTCGATATCTTATTGGAATTGTCTCTCATGGATTATGGTATCCTCGTTCTAACATGTTTGAATTAGAAGGCTTTTCAGATGCTGATATTGCGGGCGATAAGGAAGACAGAAAAAGCACAAGTGGAACATGTCAATTACTTGGCAAATCATTGATATCTTGAAATAGTAAAAAATAAGGATCAGTTGCATTATCCACGACTGAGGCTGAATACATTGCTATTGGACAATGTTGTACACAATTACTATGGATGTCTCATCAACTGGGTGACTATGATTTATTCTTTAAGCCTATACCAATTTTCTGCGATAATTCTAGTTCTATATGTCTCTCTAAAAATCCCGTGCATCATTCTAGGGCAAAGCATATAGACATCAAGCATCATTTTATTAGAGATCATGTTCTTAAAGGAAACATAGAACTATCTTTTGTTGGAACTACTGATCAATTAGCGGATATTTTTACCAAACCATTACTAGAAGAAAGATTTTGCTCTCTAAGAGAATTACTTGGCATTATTTGCATTAATCGTTAATATTAGGACCTGTGTGCTATTGATTTTGTTTTGTATGCCTAATGTTTTATTTCTTTTCTTAATCATTAATTGCGTCTCCGATTTCCCTCTCTTCTCACATAGGTTGCAGCGTTCAAAGAAGGAAAACCAATCATCACATCTGATTCATTGACACCCTTTCTTTTTCTGTACTCAACGGTCCGAAACCCTCCTTTTAATGCTGAAACTTCTTTTCAATCTCCATCGTCTCCATCGCCTAGAAACCCTTCTCAAAAGCTCTCTCCAACCAAAAACTCTTTAATGGCCAAACACCCCAAAAATCCCTCTGCCTCCACCAGGGAAAGCACTCGCTCCAAAGCAAAAACCCCTTCTCAGCCCCCAGAACAAGTAGACCTAGGGTCTGATCATTCTAAAGGTTTTGCCTTTTTCTCAGGCTGATTTGTTGGATCATTCGCATACCTTAGGAGAAAAAGCTCTGGGAAAACGTCCTATGGAAGAACCCACTATTTCCCTCACTCTAAAGAAGTCAAAAATAGATCTTTCTAGTTCCTTAGAGTCAGACCTAAATTTCTGGGATTCCCCAAATAAGGACTTCTTCATCGCACTGAAAGACAAGCATATTGCTCATGTGAGGGTAGTTGACCTTGATGACATGGAAACCCTAAATTGTAAGGTAAAAAATTATTTCGTTTATCAAGGGTGGTCAAAGTTCTTTTATGTTCCTCCGCCTAAGGTCTTTGAACCCCTAGTAAGAATGTTCTATGCCAATCTTCGCTCTAGTAAGTCTGATAAGTTGGAGTCCTTAGTGTTAGGAAAGCGTATTGTCCTTGATTGTGCCATGTTTGATTCAATCTTTCAGTGTAAGTGTTCTGGTTTTCCCATGCTCTTCAAAAATTCCTCACCCGATGTTTTTGAAATTTCTTTTGATCAAGCTAAAAGGTGTATTGCTAAGTATCCATTTGAGTCTCTCCCAAACCAATTAGGCCCTAGTGATGTTAGTTTCGAAACTCGTATTCTGGACCACATTATTGCAACCACTCTGCTCCCTCATACTGGCTCTTTTCCACCTCTCTCAAAGAGACACCTTTCTGGTCTATTGCCTTATGACAAAACTCAAAATCAAACTGTCCTCCTGGGTCATCAATATTATGATCGAAAGTGCTGATGATCCCACTAGTCTACCCTATGGCATGGCCGTCACTCACATTCTGGAAGCTCATAATATTTCCATCTCTGAATATCCCTTCATCTATGTTTCAAAATCTTACAATTCCAATTGCGAGTATGGGGTATATGTGTGTAAAGGGCTCATGGATTAAGAAACAAGAAGGAGAAGTCAAGCTTGCTCAAACCGATTCTAAACTCAAACCTTCTGCTTCCCATCCTAGCCACAGTGATCCCGACCTTCCTGAAAAGCTTAGTGCCATTGACAATCAGCTATCTACAATCAAAGATCTTCTCACTGCCACTCGGTGCACTGTTGATAACATTCATGCTATCTCCAAAGAAACATGGTCTGATGTTTCCAAGATAAGAGTTGCAGTTCTTAGAGTAAGGGAAAATGTTGTCAAGGCATTCAAGGAGGTTCATGACAGGCTTGATGGAATGAGTGTTTCAGCCAATGCCAGCTTTGATCGACTGAAGGAGGCGATTTGCAATACTCTTACCTATTTTTTGCATCGTTAATATGGAAGTTTAAGACAATATTTTTGTTGTGCTTTTTTGGACTGGATAATCAGTCGGTGGATGATTCTTTTTCTTTTGTTTTACTATAACTTTGTAAGCGTATCATGCTATAAATCCTATTTTAGTATGAAGTCTGTTTTATTATTCCCTATTTGCTGATGTCAAAAGGGGGAGAAAGGATATATGTATTTGTGTAGGTACATACAAGGATAAGTCGACTGAAGGGAAAGTGCATGTCGCAGCTCACGGCACCTCTTGAGGGGGAGTCATAGATATCCTGCAAAAGAAGTCGACTATAAGAGCTGCTGCCAAAGAAAGTCAACTGCTCTCATTGAGGGAGAGTGGGAAGTCAATTGATGTTTATGCATATATATATTTTTGTCATCATCAAAAGGGGGGAGATTGTTAGATCTGATTTTAATGATGAAAATAATATATTTGTTCTTTGTATAAGAGCTTATGGAAAGCATTCAAGAATGAAGGAATCAATCAGAGAGGATTAAGGAAAGCTTCCTAGATTGATGGAATCAACGCTAGTGTTCAATACTGACGGAATAAATTAAGGCTAGACTGAAGGAATCAATCAATCAAGAATATCGAAGATCTTGCAATATAATCAATCATGTATGCTAAATCTGGAAGGACCAAGATTCAAGGAAGGATATCCGGCGCTATCAATTCACGTATAAGGGAATCATTAAAGCCATCTCGCCAAGACAAAGCCATTGCTGAATAACCTTATTCTTGGAAAGAATTTATCTCTTTCTAAGGATCAAATCTCTTGGGTTGGCAAATCTCTTCAGAAATCAAACCTCTCTCAAAGTATTTAATCCCGTCTTTGTACATTAGCAAAATATAATTTGATCAAACCAAATACCCTCTCTTTGTAATCCTAGTCCAGTACCATTGGGTTGCAAGGGAGTTCTCTTTCAGTGAATAAGTTTCTCGAGTACACAGTAAATGGTGTGATCTACACTGATCGCTCAGTTCTTACATCACTTGTTTCTTTTTTATACAATGCCTCACCAGTGTAGTTCTCTCTTTCTTCTCTAACTTGTTACACATCAGATCTAGTAGAGCTACAATGTTTGTTTGCGGTAGAACAAAGAGAGGGTATTTGGTTTGATCAAAGTATATTTTGCTAATGTACAAAGACGAGATTAAATACTTTGAGAGAGGCTTGATTTTTGAAGAGATTTGCCAACCCAAGAGATTTGATCCTTAGAAAGAGATAGATTCTTTTCAAGAATAAGGCTATTCAGCAACGACTTTGTCTTGGCTAGATGGCTTTAGTGACTTCTCTTATACGTGACTTAATAGCATCGGATATCCTTCCTTGAATCTTGGTCCATCCAGATTTAGCGTACTTGATTGATTATCTTGCAAGATCTTCGATAGTCTTGATTGATTCATTCATTCAGTCTAGCCTTAATTTATTCCGTCAGTATTGAACACTATCGTTGATTCCTTCAATCTTGGAAGCTTTCCTTGATCCTCTCTGGTTGATTCCTTCATTCTTGAATGCTTTCCATAAGCTCCTATACAAAGAACATATATATTATTTTTATCATTAAAATCAGATCTAACAATAGAGACAAATTGTAAACTCGTCCCTTCGATGTACACTAATCTTGATTTCTTCCATCTTTGTCTTTACTTATGTTGAAGAAGAAACAAGCAAATGTGATTGCACGAAAAATAAGACAAGAAAAATGAATGAAAAAATGGAAAAAATTCAAGAGAGGCAAAGATACTAGGTGATTTATTTTCATCTGTATAAGCCTTAGTAAATATAGTTATCCAGCATATGTGTTGATGAGAGGTAAACGATACCTCATGAAATTAGTCGATGTGCGCATAAGCTTGCTCGGACACCATGATTATCGAAGAAGAAACTGAAAATAATTGTGTGAATGATTATGTCAAGATTGAGCATAGTGAAATTTAGGGGCATAAGAAATAAAAGTGTTAAGTGGGAGACTAGCGTCAATTTCTAAAGCATACGGGTGTGGGAAAGTAGTGCGGAATCTATAATCGAAATTCCTCCATTTATTCACTTTGCTCCAAAAAGATTTGAATAGTTCCAGTATCATTCTAGAGATATGTCAATATTAGCAATAATGGGGATCAATGACTGAAATTGACTAATTTTTACAGTATGGAGTGTGAATCATTACACAAAAATGAGTAGTATGGGACTTATTATGTTTATTCCAAGACAAAGATATGTCTTGTAACGAAAAAATCTTTCGTTACGGAGTATTCTTTTTGTGCTAAAAGTTTATTGACCTTTTTCTTTTGTGTAATTTACTACTTAATATTAGTATTTGTACAGAGCTCGAGTAAATTGGGATTCGCAAAATTTTACATTAGGATAAAATGCTCTTTAACAAAAATAATTCAAACCTAAGGTTCAAACTCGAAACTTTTAATTAAAGATAAAGAAGCATTTTATTATTTCAGAATTATCCTTGTTGATAAAGTTTGTCGATTTGTTCTTGTAAGGAATGAAGATTGTTTCAATGTTAAAATTCATTGGCTTTTGACAAGAGGCTGAGAGTTCGAGCAAAAATAATAGATAATTATTGTTAGCCTTTTGGGATTAGTCAATATTGAGACTGATTATATACTTTGTGCACACGTGTATTTATCTTTTTCTTTACTAGTTAGTTAGCTTATCAGATAGCTAGGTTTGTTAGTTTGTTAATATAGTTATTAGTTAGTGGACAGCTGTTGCCAGCTGTCATTTATGTGAGTCACATGTATAAGTAGGGGTGACAAAATGGTTAAAAGAAAATAGTTAACTCGGGTGATTAAGTGTTCTTTGCGCATGCATATCGATTAGGATCATGGCAATTGAAGAAGCACATCAGATTCTCCTAATCTGCTACTCGATTCAACCAACCCGCTTTACATGCATCCATCCGAAATGCAGGTTCCCATGTTGTACTAGTGCCTTTTGATGGATCAGGGTATAGGTCATGGAAGCGAGGAGTATTTAGGGCTCTTTCTGTGAAGAACAAATTAGGCTTCATATATGGGAAGTGTGGGAAACTAGACTCAAAGGATCCCACTTTTGATCAATGGGAACAATGTGATAATGTAGTGACCTCGTGGATTTTGAATTCTCTCTCGAAGGATCTCGCAGACAGTCTGCAGTATGCAAATGATGCCAAGGAACTTTAGCAGGGGTTGGAGGACAGATATAATCAAACCAATGGGGCAAAACTATATCGATTGCAGAAAGAAATCAGTGATTTGAGTCAAGGTACACTCGATATTACAGGGTACTACACTAAGATGAAGAAGTTATGGAAAGAACTGAACACCTTAAATGCACACGCTAAATGCAAGTGCTAGTGTACATGTGGTGCCAAGGCAAATATGCAGAAAGCTGAGCAGGACAGGAGGTTAATTCAATTTCTAATGGGATTAAATGAGGTGTACATTGTTGTGGGGGTAAACATCCTAATGATGAATCATTTGCCTTCCTTGGCACAAGCATTTGCCATTCTCATCTAGGAGGAGAAACAAAGAGAGATGAAGCCAAGTAATCAATTGATGATTGGCTCCACTGCCTTGAGTGTGAACATGACATGAAATAATAACTTCAAAACCAGTTATGGTCAACAAGGAAATGGACCTGGAGGGAATTCCTACACAAACTACAACCAGTCGAGTGGCATTGGGAGCAATAGTTTCAGGGGAAATTACACCACAAACAGACCTCGATCAGTTTGTGATTACTGCAAGAGTCCAGGGCACACCAAGGATAGGTGCTACAAGCTTCATGGTTATCCACAAGACTCCAAGTTCAATAAAGGAAAACGAGTAGTTGCAAATGTGTTTGGAGATTATAGTGATAAGGATATTGGTATAGGAGATAGGGAAAGGCTACAGACTCAAGAAGAGGGGCGAATGATCCAGAACCTGACCAAAGAACAATACAATCAACTCATCAGCATCCTAGAAAATTTTTAGACTGGAAGTGCATAAGACAATTCTGGTATGAAGGCAGGAGCAGTAAACTTTGCAGGTATTTTAGCTTGTTCTACTTCTCTTGACTCTAGCAATCGTTCATATGAATTTTTTAAGCTAAATGCTGACTCTTGGATACTTGATTCCGGGGCCACAAATCATATGACATATAACAAATTCATTTTAACCAATATTAAGACCCTAGTTTACCCTTTTCTAGTCACACTGCCTAATGGCCTATACTATCACATTTCAGCTCTCTGCAAGACTGTTGCAGCTTCCACTCAAACTTCTACTCAAATTCCATCTAGTATGTCTGATAAGAATAATGTGCACCCTCATTTGCATCTTGTTCCCCCCTGTTGCATCTAGTTTACCTATTTCATCTCATGCTTGTAATAAGAGTGGTGTTGATCCTCATAAACACTCCACTGTTAATACTTCATCCTTAAGTAGTGAAAAAAATATTTATGTATCAAATGCATCTAAATCTGTTTCCACTTCCACATCTACATCTAATAAAAACATAGTTGAGCTTTTGTGGCACAATAGATTAGGACATGTGCCCTTTGCAAAAATGAAGGGAATCCATGAGATACCAGCTAAATTAACACCTACACAAGGTCTTTTGCCCCATATGCCCAATGGCTAGACAAAGCAGACTGTCCTTTCCAGAAAGAACCGCCCTCACAACCAAAGTTTTTGAAATATTACATGTTGATTTATGGGGAACATATCACATTGCAGCTCATGACATACAAATATTTTTATCACTTTTGTAGATGATTACAGTATATGTACATGGATACATTTATTGAGTTGTAAGAGCAATGCCTTACAAACCATAAAAATCCTTCTTTGCTATGGTGAAAAATCAGTTTAGCACTTCTGTCAATACTATAAGAACAAATAATGGGACTGAGTTCACCAATCTAGAGACTACTTTTTTCTTTCAATCTTGGGGAGTTGTACACCAAAGAACCTGTCCATATACACCCCAACAAAATGGGATGGTGGAGAGAAATCATAAGTATCTACTGGAAACAGTAAGGGCATTGTCGTATCAATCAAAACTACCCTTACAGTATCGGGGAGAGTGCATTCTTACCTCCACTTATATAGTAAAAAGATTACCTTCTTCTTCCCTCAAAGGCAAATGTCCTCTTGAGCTGCTCTATAAGAAAAAGCCTTGCTACTGACATCTTAAAAGTTTTGGTTGCTTGTGTTTCCCTACCACACTTAAGACCCACAAGGACAAGTTTGAGGCTAGAACTTTGCCTCGTGTGTTTATGGGGTATCCATTTGGGATAAAGGGTTATAAAGTGTTAAATCCAGTCACAAAAAGGACCCATGTTTCAAGAGATGTAGTGTTCCATGAAGATGTCTTTCCTTTTACTTTGCTTTCCAATTCAAATAAGGTTTTCTCTTCATTTCCTCAAGTCAATACAAACTTGGCATCTGATTTCTTTCCTCCCAGAGAAGTAGTTTCAAACTCACCAGACCAATATCATAATACAGTATCACTTGAGCCTTCACATAGGCATTTATCACCACAGTCGAGCTCCAACAAAACACAGATCACAGAATCCAACCATAATCAACACTTGTCACCTAATAATAATTACCAAGAACTTTCACTTCACATTGATGCTCAAACAGTACATGTCATCAAGAGCACCAATTAGGCCCCACACAAATTAGTCCTTCTAGAACACAAAAAGTTCCTACATACCTAAAGGATTATAACTACTCTCTCCTAAAGATGCATGCTCTGCAACATCAACCTTCACTACTGACTAACTTCTCCAATGCCAGTAAGAGTAATTCTTCTATCTCTTTTGCAACTTATGTACCTAATGCATAGTATATCTCTCTTAATGTGTTAAATTCTAATAGTCAGCAATTGGTAAGAAATATTTCACATGAATGTGAGCCTGGTTCATATAAGGAGGCAGCTGTAAGTCCTGTATGGCAGTTAGCCATGAATCAAGAATTTGAGGCACCGAATGCTAATAATACATGTAGCTTGGTACCACTCCCAGCTGGTAAGAGTGCAATAGGGTGCAAGCGGGCACATAAAATAAAATATAGGGCTGATGGTAGTGTTGGGAGGTTCAAAGCTAGACTAGCGGTGAAGGGATATACTCAACAAGCAGGGATAGATTATACAGAGATATTTCACCTGTTGTGAAGATGACAACTGTGAGGGCACTGATTGGAACTGCAATAAAGAAGGGATGGCAGATATTTCAGTTAGATGTAAACAATGCCTTCCTTCATGGAGACCTACATGAGGAAGTTTACACCTCCTGGTGGTATACAAGCCAGGCTTAGTATGCAAGTTGAATAAGTCTCTATATGGACTCAAGCAAGAAAGTAGGCAGTGGTATGAGAAATTGACTGCAACATTATGTTCTAAAGGATACACACACTCACTGTTGGATTACTCATTGTTTCACAAAAGGAATGGATCCTTACTAGTCATTGTAACAGGGACTCATCAGGAAGAGATTGACTCCTTGAAGAATTTCTTGCATGAAACTTTTAAAATAAAAAATTTGGGAAGGTTACACTATTTCTTAGGAATGGAGGTTCTTTACAAGGAATATGGAGTGCTAATATCCCAAATAAAGTTCACTATGGATCTGCTGAAAGAGTTTGAGTGTACTGAGTATACCAACCTGTCATCACCCCTTGATCCTTCTACAAAGCAAAAAGCATATGGGAGTCCACTATTCCCTGACCCTTCTAACTACAGAAAGTTGGTAGGGAAGTTGAACTTCTTAAAAAATACAAGGCTTGATATATCCTATAGTGTCCAACATCTTAGCCAGTACATGCAGTCACCTAGGGACGCTCATTTGAAAGTTGCATACTATGTTTTGAGATATTTGAAAGGCGATCCAAGTCTGGGCATAGTTCTTTCCAATAGCAAGGACTATGGAATTAGGGCCTTTTGTGACTCAGATTGAGTAGCATGCCCTGAGTCTAGAAAGTCGATCAGTGGCTACATTGTGTTACTAGGAAACAGTTCCATCAGTTAGAAATCAAAGAAACAATCCACTATTTCCTATCTTCAGCTGAAGCATAGTATAGAGCAGCTAGACGAGTTGTGGGTGAGCTAGTCTGGTTAGCTAGACTCCTTGAAGAATTGATTGTTCCCCTGGGTCTGCCTATTCCAGTATTTTGCGATAGCCAAGCTGCCTGCAAATAGCCAAAAATCAGTATTCAATGAACGTACAAAACATATAGAAGTTGACTGCTACTTTGTTAGAAACAAGCTGCACTGAATCATGTATCTACCAATGAGCAGCTCATAGACATCTTCACAAAATCACTTACTAGAATCAAATACTCAGACCTACTTAGCAAGTTGGCAGTGAATTCCCCCCTTCCAACTTGGGGGGGGGGGGGGAGGGGTATTGAGACTGATTATAAACTTTGACACACGTGTATTTATCTTTTTCTTTACTAGTTAGTTAGCTTAATCACATAGCTAGGTTTGCTAGTTTGTTAATATGGTTATTAGTTAGTGGACAGCTGTTGCTAGCTGCCATGTGTGTGAGTCACGTGTATAAGTAAGGTGTTTGGACATTTTGTATAGTTGGAATATTCAATTCATTTTTCCCATAATGTTTCACAGAGCTCTCGAAGCTTATTCTCTTATTTTCCTCTTTCTTAGCTAGGTTTCTCTTCTTCTGCCATTGGAGCTCATACGAGCTCGATTTCATTTCATTCACCTGAGAATTTGTTAGTCAGGGATTAGTTATTTAAGGATCAGTTGATGCGCTGGGATGAAAGAAAATTTCTCAACGTTCTTCAGGACGAACATTAACAACACATAAAGATATCGACTCTTACTATTGATCGGATGGAGATCCTTACTATCTCGTAGATATATATCATATATGTAGCATCCTTTATTAAAGAAAAATTTAAAAGTGAATTTTTGGAGAGATAAATTCACCACATAACCCTCTCGTTAAGGTACAAAGAAATTGCAAGGTGAATATCACAAAATGTAAAAAAAAGTTGCACCTCAAATTATGAACTCTTAAAAATAGAAAAGTGATTTATTTTAGGGAAAAGGTCCAAAATTGCTCCTCTACTATTGTTTATTGTTTACTTCTGCCACCCGTTATACTTTTCGTCCAATCTAGCCCCTATCGTTAATCAAGTTTTAAAAATCACCCCTAACCCTAACATTTTGACATTGTGGCAGCTGACCCCCTCAGTTTAATCCATGTCAGCTGCCATGTCATCGACCCCACCAAATTTTAAGGGTCCCACAAAAAAGTTTCAAACAAACCCCACCCATCTCCTTAAACTATTCCCATCCCTTCGTCGCACCATCATCGTCGGGAATACAAATTCCAAAATCACCACCTCCACATCTGAAAAGGCATCACACATCGGGTTTATGACATTTGGAGGGACAACTTATTCCTTTTGGGAACTGGGTTTGCAATTGAAGAGTCGCCACCTAATGATTAGGGTGCATTAGGACACCAAAAGAGTTTGATTTGAATAACCAGAGATAGGGTAAGGGCTTGAAATTATTCTAAGAGGAAGGTGTTAGGCACCCCTCAGAATCCACTAGTGTGGTTTTCGGCCAGACAATTATTGTGAATTGAGGTGCAATTAGCATATAGGCAGATAAGGCTCAAATAAGAGGGGATTTCAACACATAAAGGTTTGAAAGTATGCAAAGTTTGAAAGGACCATTAGAAAGGCTAATTTTTAATAAAAAGTTAAAATGCTAAAGAAAAGAAATAAAGAATAAGGGGAGGGGGGGGTCCTAGGTTTATTAATAATATGGATCACCCCACACAATGTCCGGTAATCACTCCTCAATGAGGGGCTACACGTGACATTATCGCGTGGTCATCATATCCATATCTACCCATCCCACCCCGTTAAGGTATTCAAAGCGCGGATTGGTATCGATTATCTATTGCATGCTATTACCCGTCCCACTCCTATCAGTCGCGGAAGCACTTAGGACTACTAATCCTAAAGGGAGGGATATTAGGCTTATTTGGGGTTTCAAAGGTAAAATTTTAAGGCGACAGACAAAAACACATACTGCATACTTTGGGAGACATATAAACATATAAGGCTCAAGTATACCTCCTTGAACAGGAAAAGCACATAATAGCATGTCTTGCACGTACTGCTTAGGTCTGGTTAGAATTAAATATGAGGGAGTTTAAAAGTTGAGGCAGACTGGTTTATTACATAATTCAGATAAGAAGCCCGAATCAGGACTGCCTACTGGTTGTAATAATTAACAGAAGCGATTCAATTTTCAATTATTACTCTAAGGCTTGCCTAAGTGCTCAGACGGGATCCTATAGACATGCTATCTACTGAATTTTGAAGGTGATAAGGCAGTAAAGCTCAAATGAATTGTTTGAAATCATAAAAATGCATGCTTGTTAACATTGTAAAGCGAGGGACTTATTATCAAAAGAGATGCAGAATTAAACAAATTAATTACAGGTTCTGCAGGTGATAGTATATATTATTACTGATTTTACGTCTAGCATTGGATGAAGCGAATCAGATTCACTTAGAAACTCCTATAGACATGTTTTCTACACGTTGCTGATTTTAGACACTTACAGACGTGGTGTCTGAATGAAGAAATTTGTTTTAAACCTCGTAAACATGGTATCTAAATGCAGAACTTGAACCTTATAGACATGGTTTCTAGATGCAGAACTTGTTTTAAACCTTATAAACATGGTATCTAAATGTAGAACTTGTTTTAAACCTTATAAACATGGTATCTAAATGTAGTCCTATAGGCATGATTTCTACATGTAGTTGAATATCCAGAATTAGAACAGCCCTATAGGCATGATTTCTACCATTTGCATGCATAGTTAGCCCAACCCTGTTTCACTAGCCAACCCCAAGTATTCATTACAAATTATTACAAACCAGAATAACAAATAAATAAGAAAATACAAAGAAAATAATTACAACCATAGAAGGCCTGATTCTTGACTTCCTGTCTAAATTATGAGATAGACCAACTCAAAGACCATCGATCCAAAGCCTTTCTCCAATTTGAGTGTGTCAGAGTTCCCTAAGAGCCTCAATGGGACTCCGGGCAGTGCTCACACCCAAATTGTATCACCAGAATAGGGGCAAGTGCAGTGTGAAAAGGCCAGCCCTCAAGTGTGCAAGTTCAGAGGGAGCTCAATGGGTCCCAAGGCAAGGCTCACAAGAGGGGGGCAGGACTTAAGTCTAAGAGATAGTGCAAGTGAAGAAACGGAGTTCTGAGAAAATAAAGGAGAGGGAAACAACCACAAACAAGTGGATAATTTCATACAAAGGGGGTTCGGGGGAGTTGGAAAATTACAAAGAGCTTATGCTTAGGCAATGGTAAGCTTTGGGCATGCACAACAATAGAAGATGCCGGCATGCCTATAAGCCTACCAGAACACACAATAGCAGAAAAACATAGAGGTTAGGACCCAGGGATCAAGCTTGAGTCATGGGCAGTAATACACAATACTGTCATGCCTCAAACAAATCATAAGCCTTGAATACATTGGGGTGGGGGGTTTAGGATGCCTAATAAATTAAGAACAGGCATAAGGAAATTAGAGCATGCTAGAATAAGCCTGAACTAAACACAAGCAATAGGCAGACAAGAGGAAAAGCATAGTAAACACATGTGTGATGCTGGAATCTTAATCAGAGCATACCAGTTCAGAGAAGNGTAGGGGTTTACAGAAGAACCCCCAGATGGTGAGAAAAGGCTTGGGAAAAAACATCGGCGAAGCAGGAGAAGCCAAGAGTCAGGCTTGAATAGCCATGGCTGGCCGGAGCAAGGTCAAAGATGACCGGAAACAGCCATAGAACTGAAAGCATCCGAGGTCTGGACCAAGCTTCTTCAAGGTCTGGCCTTGAAACCATAGTACTCGACCACACCGAAGTCAAATGAGGTAGATACAGGCCTCCAATGGCTTTAGAAGCCATTGATTTGGACGATTTTAGGGTGGAAGCTGAGGGAGGCGGCTAGGGTTTGAGGGGAGCTTGAGAGAGAATTGGGAGAAGGGGGAATTCAAAGGCGGCTACAGATGAAAAATGATTAGGGCTTTGGGGTAATTGGGAATTAAAAATGGTAAGGGAAATAGGGACCGTTGATCTGGGAGATCAACGGTTGAGATTAGAGAGGGTAGGTGGGAAACGGGTCTGGGTCGGTTTGAACGGGGTTTGGGTCATGGTAATTGGGTTTAAAAAATTGGGTTCAAATTGGGGGTTCAAATAAGGCTAAAATTGAAATAAACGGGGCTAGCATTTAAACAACCATTTTTCCCTTGTTTATTTTACAAAAATAGTAGTAATTTCTGAAAATAAATTAAAGGTACTAAAATGATTAATAATATGTAATTATTAAATTAAAAATACGGGGGTTAATTTTATAATTATAAACATAATTAAACCTTAAAAGAGGCTAATATTGCAATTATATGCACTTTAGCTTTAGACATACTAAATAAATTTGTAAAAAAAATGTGCAAAAATTATGTTAGCTATATTTTAGTGTAAATATGAGAGTCCAATAAATGAATTACCAAAATGATAATTTTGGGAATAATTATTGGGTTTTTCTTGATAAAATATGACAATAAATTGATTTAAAAATCTTTTAGAAACTAAGGAAAAATAATAAAACATTGGGACATACTTATATATGCATATACATGCTATTTGAAGGTATTTTGCACATTAAAATATACAGAAAAATATTGGGTATCAACAGCTGCCCCTCTTTACTCGGGAAGGATAAAAGAGTTGACGGGTAAAGATATGATGGCCAATTTTGACCTGGCGAGACGGTTTGAAGAGGTTTGGCCGTGCTCTGGCTTCTGAGCTGCCTACATATCCCTGGTCTTATAGGAATCAGGCCATATGTAGTTCAGGATCCGTCGGGGGAATATGCCGATGGAGACTT